TTATAAAAACAAAACAAAACAGAAATAGAAGAGATGTAGAATGATGAGTTAGGAGGTAGTATAGTAGTTACATTAGAGTAGTGATGACTAGGTGGGAATGCAGAGAGAAAAAATAAGATTTCAAAAAATATTTAGAAGTTAATTCTTAAGGTTCCTGGTGTGATGTCTTGTTGGGAGGAGTGAGGAAAAGAAGGTATCAAAGATAACAGACAGATTTCTAACTTGAGAATGAGATAGTGCTGCCATTCTCAGCAAATGGGTCAGGTTTTAGGATTTAAAAAAATAATTAGTTATTTAATTGTGTTTATATTATTATTATTTTCAATTTAACTAGAGAGAGAGAGAGAGAAAGAAAAAATAAGAAAGGACGCCACCAGGTCTGAGATTTGAACTGTGGTTGGCCATGTGGGAGTTCATTGCCTTAACCACCATGCCACTTGCCAGCCCCAGGTTTTAGTTTGTTTTTTTTTTTCCTTTTGGGGGAGTGGGAGAAAATTAATGAGTTTGTTTTTTTGCATGAGTTGAGTTTAAGATGTCTTTGAAACATGCGAAGGGAGATGTCAAGTAGGCTGCTAGTGGTATGAGGTATAATTGGCAGTTAATTATGTTATTGAACTCTTAGAGTGAAAACCCTTTAGGAAGAAAATAAAGTGAGAGGAGAAGAAAGTTTAGAATTAAAATTTAGGTATCACCAACAACCAATAACGGTACAGAAGAGGATGAGTTTGCAAAGAACGCAGAGATGAGGATGAAAGAGAGAAAGAAGGAAAAACTTGGGCCATATGGTAGGACCAAAGTCAAGAGGTCTTTACCAGGAGGGCAAGATCAACAGTATGCTGTGTCCTACTGACAGAAAAGTTCAATAAGGACTAGAAAATACAAGTTTGATGGATATGATGCTAATTGAACTTGATTTACAAAATGTAAGAATTAACACCCTGGGAATAGAGATTGATAAATCTAGAGTCAAACTAGTGACAAAAGATGAGAAAGTAAGCCTCATTTACTGTGGTCAGATTAGAAAAAGAATAACCTAAAAAACACATAGATAAATAAGGGCAGGACTTATTAAATGTGGAGAGTAAAAGATGGGCTCAAAGTTGGGAGATGAGAGAACCATGGTAACAGTTAAAAATAGGTCTACACAGCTGGCCCATAGTACAGTGGGTGAGCGCAGTGGATAGGGAGTCAAATCCCATATGGCTGACCACAGTTTGAGTCCCAGCCCCTGTTTCTTGAAAAACATGCCAGGCACGTGTACATGTCTGAAATCTTGACGAGATGAAGAAATTGAGAAGGGATTATGGTGTGACCATGCCCCAGTGGGGGTGCTTCCTGTCTCTCTGTGTCTCTGTAGTGAGCACCCATGCCCTCTGGCAATAAAAAAAAAAATAGAATAATAATTTTTTTTAAAAAGTAAACCAACAGAAACATTTAGCTGCTTTCTTAAGAACAATTAATATGACCTAATTAGAAAAGCAGAATTATATTTAAAGGTTTTTAAAATACATTAACTTTTTTTTGTAAAAACAATGTCTAAAATGCTACATGAAAAGAATAGCAACATTACTAGAAGGCAGAAGGGTATAGAGGTGAAGAAGGGACAAACGTTGGTTGAGTCTCTACAGTGGATCAGAATTGGGTATACTTCTGGGTTAAGCTATTTGAATGTATTGTCTTGACTATCTGGTAAACCTCTAATCATTGTTTACAGCTCTGATCTGAGGTGACTAGAGGGAGCTCTTTGTTGTCTAGAGGTCAACGAAGGATTGTTGCCCTGTCAGCAGTTTGAGAGAATGTTACATGTGGCAGAGCAAGACTTAGGAAAACCAGTAGGGGAGAACTAGAACCTGTTTAAAAAAGAAGTATACATATTGATGCTTGTTGTGTCTACACTATGAAAGTAGTGTTTAACCTCTTCACGAAACAGCCTTCTTCATTGCTTCCTTTATGTTGCCCCTTAATATTTACCCCGGAGACAGCTTTCTCAACTGTGAAACTAGAGTGATAAGAAATGCTCACTTGTGGGTAGCCTTGAATGAAATAAAAATAATGTGAGGGTTTTAGTCAATCCAGGTTAAAAGACAAATTTTACCAGCAATAAAGTCTTCCATGTGGCAGACATGACGTCTTTGTCCTTTATCTCTTAACCTCACATTGCATCTTTTCTAAAACAAGTTCTTTTGTTGACTGACCTTGGGAAAAAGAATTGATAAACATACTCGGAGATGTGCTTCATTTTCTTTCCATTGCATATACTATGTACATATAAAAATGCATTTATGTATATACATTTATATGTTGGGTTGCCGAAAAAGTCATGACTTTTTTTTTGTTTTTCTATGCAAAAATGCATCAGGACTTTTCTGACAGCCCAATATTTATACATAAAAATTTATACTTTATTTTTTTTGACAATACCACATAAGGTCAATGTCCTTTTGCCCCAGCTTCCTAATTAGCTAGGACCACAGGCATATCCCAACACATTCATCCTGTTTAGATTGGGCCAGGAACTTGGGACCAGGGATTGGAGTAATGGCTATGTTACTGGACTCCCATGAGGTCGACCGCAGTTCGAATCCCAGACCTGGTGACCTAAACTCACACCAGGCACGTGTGTGTGTGTGTGTGTGCCCAAGATCCTGAGTGGAGAGTGGAGGAGAAGGGATTATGGCATGGCCATCCCCTCTGGGGGGTGATTTCTCACTTTCTGTCTCTCTGTTTCTCTCTGTCTCTCTGGCAAGCGCATGTACCCTATAGGAAAAAACTCTCCAAAAAAAAGATTGGGCCAGGAACTGAACCCAATCTTTGAATGTGGTCCCAGCCTCTTATTGCAGCATCTTAGCAGCAGGTACCACCAGCGGCTAGGCTTCATTCCACTTTCTTAAGTCAGGCAGTATAGCATGGTGTGAATGGATTTCTTGGGGTTTGAATCCTGCTTTGGTCACTTATTCTGCATTTGATTTGGGGCACATTTAGTAACTTTTCTTTTCTCATTGGATTTAATTGTTTAATGGGGATATTTATGATATCTTTTATATAAAGTTTTTATAAGTGTTAAAGCAGTTACTACACATTAACTTTCTGAAAAGCAAGGGACTTATAACCAGAATTCACAAGGAACTCAAGCAGCTGTTCCAAAAAAAAAGATGATCAGTCCTATTAAAAGATGGGAGAATGAGTTGAAAAAACCACTCTCTAAAGATGACATACTAATAGCTAAAAGGCATATGAAAAAATGCTCAACATCCCTCATTGTAAGGGAAATGCAGATCAAAACAACAATGAGATACCACCTAACTCTCAATCAGAAAAACTAAGATAAAAAAAAAACCAAACAAACAAAAAAAAACACAAAAAATGATAAATCCTGGCGGATGTGGTGAAGGGAAACTGCTGGTGGGAATGTAAATTGGTCCAGCCACTGTGGAGAACAATTTGGAGATTCCTCAAAAATCTACAAATAGAACTACCATATGATCCAGCAATCCCACTCCTTGGTATCTACTCAAAGGACAGAAGAATACTTCATCGGAAAAGTGCTTGCACATCAATGTTTATTGTGGCACTATTCACAATTGTTAAGTCATGGAACCACCCCAAATACCCACAAACGGATGAATGAATAGAAAAACCGTCACATATACTCTATGGAATACTATTCAGCCATAAAAAACAACACCCTGACTTTTGACAGGAAGTGGAAAAATATGGAAGATTTACTGCTGAGTGAAGAAACCTAGGCTATGAAGGAGAGACATTGTATGTCCCCACTTAATATATAC